AAAGTGGACAATATCATATCATGTGGTGGAATGGGTCGTTACAAATGGTATCAAAACCTGACCCAGCCGGAAGTGTGCCGACGAGATTTTGTACAAATCAAATTATTAAATTTGAATACCATAAAACTTACTGTGAAAAGAAAAAGAAGATGATATCATGATATGGCTATGGAAAACGAAAAAGATAAAGGAAAGGAGCTGTAGAAAACTGAAAAGATAAGGAAGGGGAAACAGGGTATTTTATGGAAACAAACAAGAGTAAGAATCTAATGATGCCTATTTAAGTTGAAATTTTGACTAACCAAGTCAAATTTTTATGTATGTTGGTTTTAAGTCGAGATATTAAAGTTGTCAGTAATATCATTTTTCTAATATTATATCTTCTTTTCTTATCCATTCCATATATAATTTGATAAAAATAAAATAGTGTAATTTAGAGGTTTAGAGGGTATTTTTGGTAAGTAGAATCATTTTCTTTTTCTTTTCATGCTAGCCAAACTAAAAAAATAAAATTTTCTTGGAGCTTTCTTAAAAAACTTTCCTATTAATCAAATACATGATGGAAACTTGATTTTTCTGTTTTTCACTTCACTTTCTTTCACTTTCACTTTCAATTAAAATTTTTGTCTAACCAAACGAACCTTAATGAAAATCCAAGCCAGTCCCGCCTCATCTGTTGATCCACGGTAGTTGAGTTACCTGAACCGTTTGGTTGGAATACATATTTTTAATTATCCTCATCAGTAACCTTATTAAATTTTTTATCATAAAATTGTATATTATTTTGTGACTTGTGCCCATTTTTATTTATATAATTGAATATGCCAACTGTTAGAAAATATATACTTCAAATGACATTTAAGATATGACTAACTATGGCTACTGTTGGAAATATATGCTTCAAATGACATTTAAAATAAAATATATTATTCTCGTATTTTTTTACTAGTATTTAATAAACATGTAAAATTATAAAGAAAAAAATAAAGAATTTGAAACGAGGCTAGTATTGGATATTATGTTTTTACGACAATTTACGCTCCACAGGGTACCAACGGACTCTATAATGCACCTCCGTGTAATACTCTCTCTAACCAAAAAGAAAATGAATCTATACTAAATACAAAATAAATTGGGTGCAAATCAAACCAAATAGCTCGGACCACTTGGCCATGGCTTAAACCCACTTTTAGTAAAAAGAAAATGCATCTATACTAAATACAAAAAGAATAGGGTAATCTTCTACTAGAAAGTGGAAAATAGGGGTGTAAACAGATATACTGAATTTTATTCCCATTTTGTTTCCTAATCAAACCATCTAGTGTAATACTCTCTCTTTCTAACTAAAAAAAAATGCACCTATAACAAATACAAAATGAATTGGGTGCAAATCAAACCAAATAGCTCGGACCACTTGACCATGATAGAGCCAAGGGGCATCCCAAGGAGACCAAACAAGAAGTCCACAAAGTCCTTTCCGGCCTCTACAAACAGCACCTTCCTCGCCTTGTTAACGAGTAGCTTCAACTCTATTTTTATATGTTTTTCGGTGAATAGCTTCAACTTTATTTTTGTCTTCTTTTCGGTGAATAGCTTCAAGTTTATTTGTGGTGGTGTGGCCATTTGAGATTGACTTTAGCATATATTGTAGGGGAAAAGAGTGAGCTTGGAGAGAATACTTGACAATGTCCAAAATAGGGCAAGAAGGGTATCTTTTATATAGTTTTGCAACATTTGCTCTTTAATTACTGTGCATTTTATAACTTTTGTGTTTCTCCAAGCAAGAAAATTTGGAATGCTTGCCACAACTTTATTACCTTCTCCTTTGTTATCTTTTCCTTTCGTTAAAGTTAAAATGATGATTCAATTTCACCCAAAAAAAAAATCTATGATGAAAGCTAAACCTAGGTTTGTTCACAAGGAACGACGAATAATATTTTTGGACAACCCAAAAATGAAAGATAGACAACTAAATTGGGATAGGGAATTAGGTGGCATACTCTAAACTCTCTTTAGAGGACAATTGACAGTCGTTTGAATGAAATTCATTTTTAGCATTTTTTTAGTTTCTAGATTTCGTATAACCAATCGAACCCTAATGAAATTCATTTTTAGTGTTGGATGAACCCTAATGACTTTGCATGTAACCACTCACTTCCTAGGCTGTTATATGTCCCATGACTTTGCATGTAACCACTTGTAACCGCTTACTTCCTTGACTGCCATGTGTCCCAAGACTTTCCACTAGAACATCGTAGTACCTTTCCATTGGAATCAACCAGCTTCCTAGGCTGTCATGTGTCTCATGACTTTGCATGTAACCGCTCACTTCTTAGGATGTGTCCCATGACTTTGCATATAACCACTTGTAACCACTCACTTCCTAGGCTGCCATATGTCCCATGACTTTGCATGTCACCACTTGTAACCGCTTGCTTCCTTGGCTGCCATATGTCCAAAGACTTTCTACTGGAATGTCGTAGTACCTTTCCATTGAAATCGACTAAGGTAATCTTCTATTGGAAAGTGGAAATTAAGGTTGTAAACAGATATACTGAATTTTATTCCCATTTTGTTTTCTAATAAAACCATCTAGTGTAATACTCTTTCTCTGACTAAAAAAAAAAAAAAAATGCATCTATAACAAATACAAAATGAATTGGGTGCAAATCAAACCAAATGGCTTGGACCACTTGACCATGATAGAGCCAAGGGGCATCCCAATGAGACCTAACAAGAAGTCCACAAAGTCCTTTCCGGCCTCTGCAAACAACACCTTCCTCACCTTGTTAGCGAGTAGCTTCAACTCTATTTTTGTATTCTTTTCGGTGAATAGCTTCAACTTTATTTTTGTATTCTTTTCGGTGAATAGCTTCAAGTTTATTTGTGGTGGTGTGGCCATTTGAGATTGACTTTAGCATATATTGTAGCGGAAAAGAGTGAGCTTGGAGAGAACACTTGACAATGTCCAAAATAGGGCCAGAAGGCTGTCTTTTATATAGTTCTGCAACATTTGCTCTTTAATTACTGTGCATTTTGTAACTTTTGTGTTTCTCCAAGCAAGAAAATTTGGAGTGCTTGCCACAACTTTATTACCTTCTCCTTTGTTATCTTTTTCTTTTGTTAAAGTTAAAATGATAATTCAATTTCACCCAAAAAAAAAATCTATGATGAAAGTTAAACCTAGGTTTGTTCACAAGGAACGATGAATAAATATTTTGGGACAACCCAAAAATGAAAGATATACAACTAAATTGGGATGGGGAATTAGGTGGCATACTCTAAACTCTCTTTAGAGGACAGTTGACGGTCGTTTGGATGAAATTCATTTTTAGCATTTTTTCAGTTTCTAGATTTCATAAAACCAAACGAACCCTAATGAAAATCCAAGCGAGTCCTGCCTCATCTGTTGATCCACGGTAGTTGAGTTACCTGAACCGTTTGGCTAGAATACATATTTTTAATTATCCTTATCAGTAACCTTATTAAATTTTTTCATCATAAAATTGTATATTATTTTGTGACTTGTGACCATTTTTATTTATATAATTGAATATGCCTACTGTTGGAAAACATATGCTTCAAATGACATTTAAGATATGACTAACTATGGCTACTGTTGGAAATATATGCTTCAAATGACATTTAAAATAAAATATATTATTTTCGTGTTTTTTTACTAGTATTTAATAAACATGTAAAATTATAAAATAAAAAAATAAATAAAGAATCTGAATCGAGACTAGTATTGGATATAATGTCTTTACGACAATTTACGCTCCACAGGGTACTAAAGGACTCTATTGTGCACCTCCATGTAATACTCTCTCTGATTAAAAAGAAAATACTTCTATACTAAATACAAAATGAATTGGGTGCAAATCAAATCAAATATAGCTTGGACCACTTGGCCATGGCTTAAACCCACTTGGGTTCATGAGAGGGGGAGAGAAGAAATCAAAGAATTGGAACGAATTAACCATGGCAGCCAAAGGCCTTTCATCTCAATATAAGTGATAACGCCTATTCTTTTCCACCGCATGAATAACACATCCTTAAAATTTTTATTTCTTTTCAATGGTAAAATTCAATTGTGGACCCAAAAGATTTCTATACTTATCTCAAATTTTTCCCCTCACCCTCAAATTGCCACTCTAGCGTCCCTGTAGACTTTTATCTTCCTTTTTTCATCTCGTACTTTTCCTTCTCTCTCATTAGAACGTCTCCCTCCACTCTCATTACAACTTTTCTCTTCTCCAATAATCACAATCTCACTCCATTGAAAATTTATTTGAATAGTTTTTGGAGCTTTAGACCGGATTTTTCATTCAAGTCCGTACGCTATAATGGCAAACTCACTAAAACGTAATGGTTACGCTATACATTCTAAGTCCGTACACGCCAACCCATAACGTAATGGTAGATTTTGATGTTCTCATTCTCTGCAAACAGTGTTTCAACCTCATAACGTAATCGTAGATTGATTGATTGAGGAATCCAAACATCAACACACACTATTATAGGTAAATTGATTAACCATATAATGGAATCCAACCATCAACCCATCGTGATTATAACGGTAAGATTTACCCTTGTGGAATGTTACAGACTCCTTCCTAAAACACACTGTTGCAAGCAAGTTACATTCACACAATTTTCTAACTACTACACCTTTAATATAAAATACATATCCAATGTTGGACTTGAAGTCCATCCACATTGCATGACTCTAATACTTCCAGTCTAGCTAGATGCCTCGATTTATTTCCTTTTAATGATCCTACCCTTAATTGATAGCGTGCATGTAATCACATTTATTAAGAAGTCCCTCAAGGACCTTGCAGTCTCGTTGATCATTCAGCCCGAAAGTACCATCGACATAGGCTGCACAATCTTTTACTAGGAAAAATCATCATCCACAAGTTTAGCAGCAGCATTCAGGAAAAACGCTATTTGACTTTTCCGTCTAATTTGAGAGAGAGAGAGAGACTCCTCAAATATTGATAATTAAAACTACAATAATTTTCATATATAATAATATAATTTTTCTAACCAACAAGGATACGTAGTATTGGTCTCGCATCAGCTGGCAAACCCGGAGCCCAATTAAAACTCTTTACCAACATAAATCCATTACAAGTCGACATAATTTAATAGTGTTATGCTCATAATAGGTTACCCATACTCATTAACGCCAGCTCATTACCATAAGCCTGTCTTTACTCACCACCATTCTTATCAACTTTCCCTTCAGCCCCCCTAAATCAAAAGAAAAAATCAGTGAATATAGAAGTCCATAACCAACAATAAGAAAATATCAATGGCAAGCTAAAACCATCTATACAGCAGACACAACATACCATGAACATGCAAAAGAGCCAAATCCGAGATACTATTAGGACAAGTAACCAAAGATCCAATCAATTAAAACAAGGGCAACGGCAAATTACATCTTTCTTCGTATCAGATTCTACTACAGAAGACTAACGTGATGTAATTGGATACAGTAATACCAAAATAAAATATAAAAAAACTGAAAAAAAGACACATCATCAGAACACTTTTACCAACAAGATGATAAATACATCATAATAATAATAATAATAATAATAATAACCACATCTCACATAAAACACCATAAAAATTCATGGTGCTCTCTCCCTCTCCCTCTCATACGCGCGCACACAAACTATAAGAGGTGGAAAATTCCGTTGTGTTTCCTTAAAGGAAAATGTGCTATTGACTTGAACATCATGCCATGGCTGTTTCATTACATATTTACTTCTTAAATATTGAAAACGATGATTTTAAGCCATGCACCCAGATCCGAACTACAAAAAGGTGGTACGAGGTCGAGAACAATAATATCAAAGTTCACAAGAGTACCAATTTTACAAATCAATTACCCATTAATATGACAAAGGGACCAAACCATGTCAAGCAAAAAACCACCATGTCAATTGGTAGATAATTGGAACCTCTTTAAGATATCAGTAAGTTTGTCCAACGAAAGAAAGGATCTTTTGAGCCCCAAAGATATCAACTTATCTCTCCCACAATGCAACAAGAATGAGAGAGCCTCATCCTGTCATATTCAGAAGATATACCATATACTCTTTAGGAATTCCCTCAATATAATTGTTACTAGTTCTAATTTGATACAAATTTATACTTTTTGGGAATTGGTTGGGGCATGACTTCTTGATGTCATCCTCACCTTCCTCTGGCTTATCACCAGTTCTTGCCACTCACTTTGCATGGAACCTTTTGACCAGATTTTTCGAATGGTAACCCATTGACCAGATGCTCACAAAGATATAAGGGCACGGCCACTAAGGGACTTGAAGAAGTCACAACGGGGGAATATCAATTATGCTCTTTTAATACGGAGGAGAAGTAGATGGAAAATAAAGTAAGGGGCAGAATTATGTAACCGAGGAAGGGAAGGGAAGGAAAGGGGTGGAATTATATAACCTGTGGGGTCGCTTTGTTGAGTGAAAAGGAAATGAGAAAGGGAGGAAAGTGTATTGAGCGACCCAACTGCTATACCTTCAGGAGTAAAATATACTTTCCTTGTGCACTATGTTCTTTTTCATTTTTTTTTCAAAACCTATCAAGGAGGGGAGGATCGGTTGAGTCGAAACAGTGCTCCCACGCGACTCAGGGTGAAGTGTTTCTACCAACTAGAATTATATTGAGGGAAAGGACAAAAGCAAATCCCAGCCCTCCTGAGACCTATGGCAATAAAGAAGAAGATGGACAAACTCCTCGGCCTGCTTGCACATGCAACACCAATTGCAAATTATATGTCCTCTCCTTCTCACTAGCCAAGATCCTACCCAAAGCCACTATCTAAGAATAAAAAGATCGCGGGCCCCTTATGGCTCCATCAGTCGACAACAGTGTCATCAAAGGCCCAAGGCAACACTAAGGTGCAAGAGGTCTTTTGGAGCCTAGGTGTAAGGTAAAGGGCGCGCCTAAGTGAAGTGAGGCACATAATTGAAAAAATGAATTATTATTAAAGCATATTCATATTGTATACTAAAGGCTCGAATATTGTCAATGGCGCACCTAGGCACACAACATGCGCAAGTGTTGTACCTGTATGAGCCTGGAGCCTAGGTGCGCGCCTTTAACAACACTGGACGACAATAGAACGAAATAGACCTCAAACCCACCATGACTTGTAGCCATCCAGACCCACACATCCATCTCGTCTCTAGAAATAACCTGACTATAAAGCAAACCAAAAACTTGACCATCTCCTCCACCTTCCAATCATGCAAAAACTTCTCAAACTACAAGACCCGAGACAGTGTCCTCCCATAAAAAAAGATAACACTGAGCCACCATCGCCTACCTATCAATCGAAATCCCATCCAGTCTTGGAAAGACTCACAAACAGCCCATCACCGCACTATGGGTCATGCCAAAAGCTGACAAGGTGCCCATTCCTCACATTAAAGCGAATATGCTTGGAGAATTCATCCCAACACTCCCAGATGCTCTTCCACAAGCCAACTCCCACCACGAACCTCCATGGCAAAGAGCACCATCCACATCTATCCTTACGACATATGTGGAAAATGACCTCCTTCCATAGTTAGTGCCTCTCCCTCAAACCTCCCTAGCTACTTGCCCAACAAAGCTTTGTTGAACAAGTCCAATCTCCTCACCCCCAACCCACCTATAGGAATGAGTCTACAAAACTGCTCCCATCCCACCATATGGTATTTGATCTCTTCCCATGTTTTCCCACAAAATATTCCCCTAAAACCTCCCAATCCTCCTCACCAAATAAGCTGTGATCGGAAAGAGGGACAAAAAGTAGGGATACTCGAAAGGGTGCTCTTCAGCAAAGTCAGACGCCCCATTTCGATAGGTACCAGTTCTTCCACGTAGCCAACCGCCTTTTGAATTGCTGCATAACTAGATCCATTAATGAAGCGCTCCTCCTCTGGACTCCCAGCGGCTGGCTAGAAATATCCCTCCCCACCTTGAAACCTCTTAAATAGCCCAAATCACCCCGTTCGTCTTATCAGCCTACTAAAAGCCTCCATCACAATGATGAAAAGGAAGGGAGATGAAGGATCCGTTACCTCGGTCCTCTCGAATTGCCGAAGGAACAGGTGGGAACGCCACTAAACCAACACCGAGAATCTCGCCGTGGAAATGCAAAAGGGGTCCCATGCCCTCCGCCTCTTACCAAACCCCATCCCCTCCATGACATAAATAAGTCAGTCCCAATTCATGAGGTTGAAAACTTTCTAAAAATCAAGTCGTACACCCCATCCCAGGCACCCCGCTGTTAATCTAAAATCTACACACTCGCTAGCTACCAAGAAGGAATCGAGAAACTGGCACCCTCCCCAAAGCATTCGGGGCCTCTGAAATCAACCCCGTCTAGAACAACATATAGCCTTGCCGCTAGGATTTTGTCTATAAGCTTGTACAACCCACCAAGCTAATATGACTGAAATCCCTAATATCAATAGCTCCACCTTCTTATGGATAAAGGCCAATTATCCAATTAAAGAAGCATTCATTGACTACTCAAACCTCCCACGCAAGAGGAAGAAGTGTATTGTTGCCATAATCTCCCTCTTCACCCTCTCTTAAATATGCTGAAAGAAGGCCAAAGAGAAACCATCCAACCATGGGGCTTTGTCACCACTACTAGTCTACTACTTTGCAAAGCCAAGATTACCTCCATCTCAAACGGCCTCTCCAACTGATCCTTATCCTCCAAGGATATCGAATCAAGCTCCCAACCCCCTAAAGAGGTCTCCAGGTCGAAATCTCCCTACAAAGATGATGGTGGAAAGAGGTCACACCTCTTTCCACCTCCCCTTCCTCACACGGCTGATGATGAAAACAGACAAAAGAAATGTGAAGGTTGATGCTTGTGAAGGATTAAGAAATATTATTCATGTTTTATTTGTTAAATCGGCTGCCATTCACTGTGTTAGGAAACTTCCTGGTTCAAAAATGGCACTCTGGTTTGAAATCACTGTCTTTGAATGTTGAAGACTTTGTGTTTTGTATATGCAAAATCTTTGTGCAGTTCTATTTGCCCAGCTGAGCGTGCTTTCACGCGTTTGCTTGACTTTTGACCATGCTTTTCATACTCTGCTTTTAATGGTCAAGATGATGCCACTAGTCTGTTCTGATGTGGAGCATTTGGCCTCTTAACAGAAGTGAAAAGTCAATGGATTACAGCTGCTAACCATTATCTACAACTGTATTATGATGTACAATTGTACTGTACTTTACTTTTAGTAATATATATCGTGTATATATAAAATATTGAGTCATTTGTTGTTTGTTCTTCCTCTCTAATGATGCTTTGACTCTGCAAATAAGGCAAACAAATACAGTAATAAAATAAATTTTCCTATCAAAAGGTACAACAGCTGATACGTCTATTTTTTTTTTTTTATCATAAAACTGATGTCTCAAACATATACAAACTTGCAATTTTCCATTTCTTTAAAGTGTCCAAGCACCCGTGTCTAAATATTGGACACTTTTTAACCAAGTCCGGTATCTTGTAAATTGATAGATTGATGAATCCTACATCTAGACAAGCACCCAACACGGGTGCCCGAGACCGGGTAACATATGGCCCAGCTACTGGAATTCATTTTAGTTCAAAGACTTTTATAGTTAGTCGACTGACTTAAAAAAAAAAAAAAAATTTGGGAATACTTGATGCTTAAACATGCATGATCAATCTCAATGTGAACTAAAGGTTTATACAATGAGTCAATTTAGTTCAAAGCCTGAGTCAATAGGTCTAGGGTCCTTCGAAAGATATGTTTCGTTTCAAATGTTGGTCTTTGTTAATTGAGCATTCACACTAGTTACTCCAAAAATAACTTTACAAGTTAAACTAGTACTCACCAAAGCTTAATCTACCCAAGTTTTCATCTCCAATCTTTGGGTCCATCAAATTCTTGTGGCTAGGATCCATTTAGCTTTGCCATTTATCCTTTATTTTCTTGAATTAATTTAAAACCTCATTAACAAATACTCAATCAGAATGATTAGCTTCACACTACAATAGTTTGTTGCAATAAAATTATCGAAATACCCTTGAGTTGAAATCTTTGGGTTAACATCGGTAACTTATATGTGCACCAAAAACATTTGAACCATTAAAGTTAAAAACAAAAAACAAAAAAATAATATTAGTTCCAATCAGGAGCGCCTTCATCACGCATTGTGCCTGTTAAGCCTGTCCAATAGACACAGACGCA